CCCCGCACCCCCCAGAAAAAGATAAACAAACTAACTGTTGTGCATTTCATGACGAGGGCTGACCGGCCGCTCACCAGACACTCTGCCTAAGTGTCCTAGTCATCTTCTCAGATAACACCTCTCACACCCAGGCCTCAAGATGATGTGCGAGGTGATGCCCACCATCTCGGAGGACGGGCGCGGTGGAGGTGGAGGTGGCTCGTCTTCCCCGGCAGGGGGCGGAGGAGGAGGGATGGGTGGCGGAATGGGAAGCATTGGGGGCTACGGCAGCCGGGACCCGCGCGGTGGCGGCGGCGGTGGAGGCGGAGGCGATGAAGGAGGAAGCACAGGAAACCTGGAGTCGCTGATGGTGAACATGTTGACGGAGAGGGAGAGGCTGCTGGAGAGCCTGAGGGAGACGCAGGACAGTCTGGGGACGGCGCATCTACGCCTACGAGAGCTCGGCCACGAGAAGGAGTCCCTCCAGAGGCAGCTTTCCATCGCGCTGCCACAGGTACAGAGGGCGAGGCGAGGGGTCAGGGGGTTCAGGAGGATTGAAAAAGACACATCACTATCTTAACACACACACACATATGTCTCATTTCTCTTCTTTAGCTGTCTTCTCCCTGAACATAAGAGGGCTTAAAGTGAAGTAGTTCACATTTCTGCTTCTCAAGGTCAGCTTGAAGGTGTGAGTGAAGGAGGGTCATGTAATGTAACAATATTCTGTGCAACAGGCCCAATCGTGGCCCTGTACACACTCTAAGCCACAGGCAGAAGTGTACACGTGTCCCAAATGATAGTTTTTACTCTGCAAACAGCAGTTCATGTGAAAATGTGAGTAGAATCTGCAGCCTGGTTGTTTCACAGTGTGGGTTTGGTAGCTAAATGCAATGCATCATCACCACAAATGCAATATTTACATCATTCTCTCCCACATTTTTGTTGCTCACAGTGCTGTGGACACTGAAGGCCATCCTGCAGTAACATACAGGGATACACCGTACAACATGCACGGGGAGGAAAAGGATACAGTTAGCAGGATAATGACTGGATTAATTGCAGTTGTCTATTTACGGGAACTTCATATTTTGTAGATTTATCAGAGCAGGGAAAAAAACGTTATGTGGTTCTTTATTGTTATAACATAATTTACAAGTGTGCTGATTGACACATGGCTGTGAATTGAAGGTGAAGTGTTCCTTTAATGTGGTGGGGATCAAGCTGTGGGGCAGGGTCCACTGTTGGGTATCAGAGTCACTGCATGTAACAGGGAAAATATGGAGCGAAACTAAGCTGAAAATAATTGGACTCTAAACCAACCGAGAGTCTGCGGAGCTTCATTTCAACCTGAATTCTTCTTGTAATGTTTATTATTGAGAAATAGTACGAAAACTGCAGCTTTAATTTAGATGTTTGTTACAAAAGAACAGGAATACTTGGCTTTTTTGGGCAAATAGTTAATAACGGTGATATAATGATTCGCATAATAGTCGATCATAATAATATTATAGTCATAACAATAATATCATAATATATATAGAAAATATTAAATAAGATATAATGCCAATCAGTCAAATTCATCTTTAATTATATCTATAATTATAACAGCTGTGGGCCTTATTTTACTAAGTAATTAAGCTCAAAATGCAAGTGCACAAAGCTGGGTCTGCTACCATAACTATATGAATGCATACAAAAAGAACAAATACACACGTATTTATGATATTATATATACGCATTACTGACACTGTATTGATGAATATTCTTTAAAAAACACATCACAGGTATCTCCAGAGTTAAATGCACACAGGTTGTAACAAAAAAATGTATAATAAGCACTTAAATAAACAAAGACGAGACATTTATGCCTCATACACCCAAGATATTGATGTATTGTGAATATGCATTTAAATACTTAGTAAACATCGTAGTACAGGAGATCTGAAAAAGTCACAAAGCTACTTACATGTATAAAACATCAATGGCATGATGAAAAGCTGTAGGTGGAATTATAAGTAGAAGTGCTGTTTTTGAAGTGCTGTAAAAGTAAAAATATTGTGAGTAGAGCATTTCCTTCATCAGATGTTCTCATAGTGAAAATGGTTCCTTGTTGAATTATTGATACGTGAACCTATAAGCAGGATTTCAATGTGGGAGATGGTCCAGGTGGTGCTGAGTTGGGCTCCTTTGGGGGCGTTTAAACTACAGCAACGTGGATAAAGATCGGTTTGGGTGTATGTGAATCAGCTGAAAAAAACAAACACTTCTCAGGCTGAAAATGAATCAGCAGAAAATCTGAGGATTTTTTTTTAATGAAAAATCGCTGATAGAGTAAAAAAGTCTAGTTACAAATTCAAACATATGTTTTCTTAATCTCCCATGATAGAAAACTGAATAGTGTGGAATTTGTGATGGTTAATTTGACATAATAGGATATTTTTAATAATATATACTGATAACATTCAAAGTAAGTCATAAGTTGATTATTAAAGTAGACACATGTTTATTGAACAGTCATAACAGACTTAATGCTGAAATCAGACTGTAATGTTTTCAGCGTGAGACTCTATTTTCTATGCATCATCACAATCTTATAGACTATAACATTTTTTTTCTGGATAGTAATCAAGTACCAAATTAGAAATAGTCGAGTAAAGTACCTAAAACTTAAATATCAACAATTCAAATTTTAATAAAAACAGGTAAATAAATAAATACTACTGTAATACTAAACAATATTTTCTTACACCCGGACGTCAGGAACAACAGGTGTAACTGACAGAGCAATTAAGGGCTCGCTGCCACATCCTAACACATACACTGCTTTATCATCTTTTTTTACTTTGAATGGACCTTCAGAAAAAACAAAACAGACATTACATTGGACTCTAAGACTTTAATCTTATAATTGTGACTTTAAACTCACCACAAAGTCATTACTGAGGGCATTAATCAAGTGAGAAGTGGAGTCATTTTCCCTTAGGCTTTCATACACTCCGGCTCTTTTTGCAGCCAGTGATGTTGCCCTCTGCTGGCCATTAGGAAGAAAGCATTTAAGGCGCTTGAGCACCACTTTTCAGACACTGAGGCTACATCTATCTTAGATGGAGAGATGTTTTTCCATCTCACTTCTGTTTAGATTAGGTTACATTTTGGTTCTTAAAAAAAAGGATCTTAAAAATACCTCAAAAACAGCACAAAGTCTTAAACGACCTTCTGGGCTTTTCAAATGTGATGCTAATATGTCTGTGGCACAGACTGGTCCTACCTGAAGCCCGGGGATGATGGCGCAGTGTTTCATTTGCCCCTGTAGCTCAGAAGCCATTATTATCCCACATCCCATGCCCGAGAGCTAATCATGTTGTAATTCCACTCAACATAGAAGAGCTCCGTCTCTATTTTCAGGCAGGAGTCATTGTTGGATGCCTCGGGCTGCAGTGTTGTCTCCCTCATTGTTAGTACCTATTTCTCTCTCTCTTGCCATGTCTGAAATATCAAAAATGGAATAACAGACGTAGCGGTGCTGCACGTTCTACCAGAGAATGAGTGGACATTAAAGGGCCGTGTTCCCTCACTGAGAGGAGATCAATATGGTGCACACATCTGCAGAAGCACACAGATAGAGGAACACATGGACGACTGTGGCACATTCTACTGTAGATGAGTTCACCGAGTTTATCTGTGTGTGTGTGTAGACGTTGCCAGGAGAGGGAAAACAGGAGAGAGGGATGGAGTGAGCGACAGCACGGCTTGGAAAGAGAGAGGAAGAGAAAAAAAACCTGGTGATATGAAACTCACAGAGACTAACAAATCAAGTCCATTTGCATATTGCTGCATGCTAATGAGGTCTGGAGTGTGTTTTAGATGGTGTGTATCATGACGGGGGAAGACTGACATGGATGAAGGTGGGATTTAGTGGTAAAAAAATCATGTCAGTCATGACGCTAAGAGATTTCCATCATCTACCTGACCGAAGTGATGCAAAGTGTCTTGTTACGGGGGTCTGTTTCACACCATCCTTTACACCAATTAATCCCAAAATTATAAAATCCTTTGGGCCCAGAACGTGCCATCTGTACACAGTAATTTCCTCCCTCGTCCTTCCTCTTCCATCTTTTCAAATAAGCCTCTTTCTTTTACTTGTTCCTCTGATCCTCCTCTATTTCAGCCCAGTGAGCACATCAGCTCAGAGGCTTGTTACAGACTGTACACGCTGTACTTTATAAATGCGTTTTTGGCTGATAGAGAGTGTGAGGTAAGGCGCCTATTTGCTGCCGTGTGGGTAAACTGATCACTCTTAGCACGGAGCAAAGATAACAGCAGCCAGCGCGCATGCATCAGTACGCTTTACTGGCCCGTTTGCATAAGCATTTTCTTTCCAAAACACACATGCTTTGGTGCACACGTGCTCAGGGATGGTCATGTGCTCTGCATCATGTGTGCATCACGCCACGGTCACACACGAGAGGACAATCAGAGCATGGGCGGGCGCTTATGGTACACATTGTGTGCATGGTCGCGGGTGTGAGATTGCAGAAGCAAAAACACAACCTCAGCTGCTGAGAGCTGAAGTCGGCCTGAGCGAGCTGAGAATGTCACCCTCTCTGTTGATTTGTTGCCATAGATTTTGATTGTAACTATTATGTGGCTGACCTCACAAAATATACATAATTGGAGTAAATTACACAAAATCACAACATTTCAGTTGGACCGCTGTCAGTTGGAAAAAGACAGACTGGGCTGGCCTAATTTACTCTCATGCTTGTTTAACCTCCAGGTTTTAATGATGGGAGATAGCGGTCCATGCTTATTGTGCAATTAAACCAATTTCAGGTGCAACGCCTGCAATAAAACCAGTGGTTAGATTTTATATCAAGGTCTGGACTCCATGAGCGCTGCGGTAGACATGGCAAAGACCGTACTGTAAGTGAGTCGTTTCCTTTTTCGGCCGCAGTGTAGCCGCTTTTCTGTGCAAGTATGCGTTGATTTAATGTGCTGGAATTCTTTGAGGCCAATGAGCTTTGAGCTTGTTAATGAAATCAAGATCTGTCAAATGGTTTGCTGTGTTTAATTGCACTGTAGGTTAACGGTAAAGATTGGCCGTAAAAGCCTCCTGTTGGCTTTTACTGCTGCGCGTTTCGCTTTCTCTGGGATAGACGGCCAAAGCTGGAGAAGGTAACATACTCCTATAACGATGAAATAAAGGAGTTTGGTCGGAAAAAATTTGCGGTCATTGAAATTATTTGCTTGTTTTGCCTCCACTTTGTTGACATTTATACTTATCATAAGAGGGTAAAATCCACTGAAAGGCACCATTAGAAATTAAATGCAGCATAAACATACCAACTTACAACCTTCCCTCCTCTCCTGAGGTTTAAGTGTGAAAGTCTGAAGCACATTTAATTAAAGTATGAACGTACTTGGCATCATGTCTGTGAGCTTATCTGGTATCGACTTATAATGAGTAAATCTGTTTAGTGGGTTTGACCTGATTGACATGACATGTCACGATCATATCAGTTTTTCTACTGGCCCAAAGATAACATGGGAGGGAGTAATGGACACATATATGCTGGTTTGCTGATGTAAAAGGTGCCTTTTGTCCTAAACATACACTTTGATGATTCAGAATATTGTGACCGCTTGGTTATGAGCCACAGATGCCACTTTGAAGACTGGTTAGCTTCAATTTTTCCTTGGAAAAAAATGGCACTAAACTTCACAGCATGGAGTCTTTTTTTTAGCTTTCATGTTTGTTTTTTAATTATTATTAATTTGGAAAACTGGCCAAAGTTAGAGGAGGTAACCCCATGCTGAGATCGTTCCAATCTAGTTAATCCAAAGTCTGGCAAGTTATTTGGTGGTTTCACATGCTCTCAGCCAATACTGAGTCAGCAGACAATAAAAAAAATCAATCAAAGGAGAATTTTTGGTCTACACCTTCTGTGCCAAGAAGTCATGAAAAAAGCTTTGATGATAGCATGCATTGACCATAGCGTTCTTTCAATATGCTTTTAAACATCGGAGCATTTATTTCTGCCCAGAGTTGCATTAATTTTTCACCAAGGTCTTGTATTGATGCTGGATGAGTCGGACTGCTGTGGAAAATCTTCTCCAGCGTATCCCAAAGATTCTCAGTGGGTTTAAGGCCAATCCATGTGCGAACATGATGCCTGACGCTTCCAGAACCTCTCTTTCACAGTCTGAGTCTGATAAATCCTGCCATTGTTATCTTGGAATATCTCTGTGCCATCAGGGAAGAGAATTGATGGAATAACCTGCTCGATTGCTATATTCACGTAGTCAGCTGACCTCATTTTTTTGGCCAGATAACTTTGCTAAATAATAATGCATACTTTATTGAGCACCGAGGGGAAATTACTCTCTCTGCATTTCACCCTTTCACTCAGTGAAGCAGTGGGCAGCTGCAAATCAGGTGCCCAGGGAGCAGTGTGTAGGGACAGCCCCTTGCTCAGGGGTATTGCAGGGTAGCCATTCAGTGGATTTGAACCCTCAACCTTCCAATCATGGGGTGACCACGCTACCTACTGAGCTATCCCTGCCTTGCATAGAGACCTGACTAAGCAACCCTAGATTATAACAGAGCCCCCCACAGGCTTGTACAGTAGGCACTAAGTGGGATTGGTGCATTACTTCATATGATGCATCAATCAGGAAAATCTGGACTCTGTCTGATATTTATGCACCTGAGCAAACTGAAGCATTTTTTAAATAAGCCTCACTGATGAGTGGTTTTCTGAAAGTAACTAGAAAAACATTTTTCCATTAATATGAGGTATGCTGTCAAATATATACACCAAATATACAATCAGGAATACAGAAATTAATGTGAAAATAACTGAAATAAAACAAATGTACCATACCATACCAGCTTCATATATAAAGCACTTTAACATAAAACCAGGGTTCACAAAGTGCTGTGCATATACAAATAGCATAAGCAAAGTAAAATAAAATTATTACTAAATAAATAAGATAAAATAAAACATGTTAAAACAAATTGAGTCTAAAATAAATATGTTTTAGAACAAGTTTTAAGAGATTTCAAAACAAATAAAAGGACTTTAAAAACTATCCTAAAATGTACAGGTAGCTTGATGGCAATAAAAACAAACTAATGAAAACAAAAATGATCCATTTACATCACACTTTCTAAATGAATTTGTGACTATCATCAATTTTCATATTGTTTTGCTGCATTTCATGATTTATTTATTAATTAAATCATTTATTTATTCCTGTATATGTTTTTGATGAAGGCAGTTTTGATTGCATATAGATTGGGGTCAAAATTAAAGCAAATAAAGGGACTCCAAAATGTAACAAAATGAGTTTGTTCAGTAAATTCTGTAAATTTAAACTATATGTATAGTTTAAAATTTGTACATATCTATATATATATCTATATAT